CTGAACCTAAGCAGTTTCAAATGAATGTTCGCGTTTCAGTGAACCGTAGTTTTTGCCATAAAAATTTGTCCTGTGCAAAATGAGTGGTGATAACAATGTGGTTATTATGAGGTGCCTGTTTGCTTCTCTACTTCACAACTAGTCTGAATTTGGAGTGACTTCACTGAAAATCCCTGGTGGAACAGAAGGAACAGAGCAAGCTAGTACAGAAACAAACCCGGGTTTTTCCTTCTTTTCCCCCCTCAAGATGGCAGATTTCCCCCCTAAAGAAAGGTTTGCAAAGAGAGAAGGTAAGAAATAAGGTGTAGACTGGACTGATTCACAGTCAGATCAAAAAGGCAACGTCTGGTTTATGGTGCACATGGAGACTCGGGAATGGAGACACAAGGACAATGGGGAAGGGGTGGGTGCACACCTGTGTCTTCCTATAGCATGTGGTTTGGGCACCTGTGGCATCTACTTCCAGGCCTGGGAGGGGACATGCATTCCTAGAGACTAGACATAGATTTCCAGGCAGGTGAAGGAAGGTCCCTGCAGTGTCCTGCTGTAGTCAGGACCCTGTGTGTGTGTGAGGATCACACCCCCTTTTGCCAGGGCATTTAATTCCAGAATTCCAAATAACACATTTAGACACTGATAGAAAAAGCTCATCCTCTTCAAAAAGTCAGCGAACAAACTAGGAAAGCAGATCCAAAAGAAAATGCAGTTCTCTGAAAGGTTGAATAGATAACAACCAAAAATAATCTTTTTATGTGATAATGATGATTTAAAAACTGTTACCAAACAACTTTTCCAGGGCCAGGGAAGCCTGTTTCATTAGTGGAGTAATTGCAGCGTATATGCATATGTGCTAAGAAAATTACATGTACGGATGTCTAATTATAGCTGAGGAGCCATGAGCTATTTTGCATGGCTGTTAACAGTGTAAACAATGAGGTTATTCATGGGCTGGATTCTGGCTGGGCTGAATGCAGGTGCAGAGTGTGTGCTTAGGTGGGAGGAGGGAGCAGTACCCACCGTCTCGTATGCACCGGGCAGAATGACAAAGGAAGTTTACTCATATGAGTAACGCAGTTATGCTGGAGTTTGATTTCTCATTAAGTTTATGTTTTACTGAGGCATGATACTTAATTTAAGCCTCTATTGAATCAAGCTCATAAATGTCTACTACAGCAGAATGTTCTCATTTCTTCCTCGCTTGAAATGGCGGCCCTTCCAAACTATCAACAAGGAGTTGTCCAATCCAGATCTTAATTACGAAGGATTGTCTGTTGTGGTTTTTAATTCCTTCTGGACTATCATTGCCCTTTAATTAAGAGAGTGGAGGTTATGATTGGTATTTTTCTATTATGTAGCAATAAATGTGTTAATCTTCGGAGCGTTCTTAAGGTTTTACCTTTCTGTGAAGTTGAGGACTTTATTTTCCCTTTCTTTCTGTGATCTCTGCCAGGAGATTCTGCAGTTGCTTTAAAGCAGTTTTTGAGTCCTTCTTGTCTGTAATTTTAGTTTACATTTTACATCCATATGGCAATGTTTGAGTACAGTAAAGCTATGTATGATGACTGCATACCTGAAAAGACAATACATCTTAAATACTACAAATATTATGTTAATGGAAAGATCGTTTACCACCCCAACTGTTTTTAGTGAACAACTCATGTCTATCTTAAGTCTATTAAGTTCAAAATTTAATATGAGATTTCTAGTCAGCTTCTGTATCTCAACTTTCCCGAAGACTCAAATGACTGATTGTTCTAAAACGTCTGTACAGAATCTAACTGGAAATATGGTTGAATTTTAATGAGGAAGTGGTAGAAACATAAGTCTAATGCAGTAAGAAAAGTTAGGTAAAAGCTCTGATTCAGAAGGGAAAAATATTTCACTGAAGTTACGCTACTGAAGTGTCTCGGAACATAATTAGAGAAAATAAACTTTCTATGTAAACAAACCAAAAAGCTTGTCCAAACACATCAGAGTATTTTACATAGGCAGTGTTCTTTACTGGCAGATCCAAGAGTTCTTTATAAATATTTGTTATTGAAATTTCTACATTGTCCTGGCAATGTATACAAGTATTACTTGTATTGTTCTACAGCTAGGGATACTATATTAAATGTCACTCAGAAAATTAATTTTAGAGAGAAGGATGAGGCTATGTTTCAGATCTTGCTTCTCTACTCTAATCACTGATTATATTTCCTCTGGGAAGGAAGGAAGGAGCAAAAACTTTCCCACTGCATTTGTAGTCTTATTCTGATTTTAGCTAAATGTTAATTGACTTTGCTGGACAAAATGTCAGTTTTCTGAAGTAGCAAATAGTGCTAGAAGAAACAATATGTCTTTCAAAGCATTATCTTTTTTGTTAGTGATTGAGACTATGTAATGTTTTTATTTTTAGTAAGAAAAGTCTCTGAGAGAATTGTCAGTACCACAGTCCACTTACTTTAAGCCATTATAACCGTTTTTTCAACCTTTAAAAACCTCCGTACTTCCAACATACTTAAAACTACCAAGCTAGAAAATGATTCTTACATCTTTTTAAAATAGTTTTAATAGCAGCAGAGCAGTAAGATACATTTTAATCTGCATGAGAGTCATTTGGCAG